ATATACATTAAATATTAACTGTTTAACAAGATAAGATGTATACATTAAATATTAACTGTCTAACAAAATAAGATATATACATTAAATATTAACTGTTTAACAAGATAAGATGTATACATTAAATATTAACTGTCCAACAAGATAAGATGTATATATTAAATATTAACTGTTTAACAAGATATGATATATACCTTAAATATTAACTGTTTAACAAGGTAAGATGTAAATATTAAACATTAACTGTTTAACGATATAAGATATATATACCTTAAATATTAACTGTTTAACAAGATATGATATATACCTTAAATATTAGCTGTTTAACAAGGTAAGATGTATATATTAAACATTAACTGTTTAACGATATAAGATATATATACCTTAAATATTAACTGTTTAACAAGATATGATATATACCTTAAATATTAGCTGTTTAACAAGATATGATATATACATTAAATATTAGCTGTTTAACAAGATACGATGTATATATTAAACATTAACTGTTCAACAAGATAAGATGTATATATTAAATATTAACTGTTTAACAAGATACGATGTATATATTAAATATTAACTGTTTAACAAGATAAGATGTATATATTAAACATTAACTGTTTAACAAGATCCAATTGATCAGAAATTTTTGTCTACATTACTTGATCTTGACCAATTGATCAGAAACCTTTGTCTACATTGCTTGATCTTGATAAACTTATCAGAAACCTTTGTCTGCATTGCTTAATCTTGATCAAGTGATCAGAAATATTCCTGTACAGAATCAATATGACGTCATAGCTCCATATCACGTACCTGAACGTCTTACTCTAAATACTGTAAACCTTCCTGTTTTCGAGACCGTCCACCACAAGTCCTCAGACACATCGCGTGTCTAAATAACTAGGTCAGAGACGATCTAGGGTTCCCTAAGTTTGAAATATCGACCAAAGAGAAAGCAGCCTGTTATCAGTATCCATTAAACCTGAACAGCAGTATATCGAACCTTGGATCCTCTGATCCACATTTCGGCATGCTAACTCATGTGATATTAAGTACATTTTGATATGTCAATACTTGAACATAATTAAATGTTCAGCCAACTGAAATTGAATACCCAGAACACGTGTTTAAAACCAAACCTATCAAAATAAGTTCAAGTAAAGTAGCTTTTTAAAATGGTGTTTGGTTAAAACTTATCAGCTGTTTATTCTTCCAGTTTTACATTTACTGCACGAAATATTATAAAATCGAAGAAACGGATACATCAAAGTGTGGAACACCATTGGTCAAAACTCTGGGTTGCGTTAACACAGTAAAGAAAACAAATTAATAGAGACGAGAAGAAACAAAACTAAAACCAGAATAAGATTCCAAGAACTCTACTAGCATGAGCAAAGTTGCGAGAAATAGATGAGAAGTATATATATATGTATTATCTTGTTAAACAGTTAATATTTAATATATACATCTTATCTTGTTAAACAGTTAATGTTTAATATATACATCGTATCTTGTTGAACAGTTAATATTTAATGTATATATCTTATCTTGTTAAACAGTTAATATTTAATATATACATCTTATCTTGTTAAACAGTTAATATTTAATATATACATCGTATCTTGTTGAACAGTTAATATTTAATATATACATCGTTTTGTCTGCATTACTAGATCTTGACCAATTGATCAGAAACCTTTGTCTTCATTACTTGATCTTGATAAACTTATCAGAAACCTTTGTCTGCATTACTTGATCTTGAGGTTTCTGATCAATTGGTCAAGATCAAGTAATGTAGACAAAGGTTTCTGATCAATTAGTCAAGATCTAGTAATGCAGACAAAAGTTTCTGATCAATTGGTCAAGATCAAGTAATGTAGACAAAGGTTTCTGATCAATTAGTCAAGATCTAGTAATGCAGACAAAAGTTTCTGATCAATTGGTCAAGATCAAGTAATGTAGACAAAGGTTTCTGATCAATTAGTCAAGATCTAGTAATGCAGACAAAGGTTTCTGATCAATTGGTCAAGATCAAGTAATGTAGACAAAGGTTTCTGATCAATTAGTCAAGATCTAGTAATGCAG